TTCACAAAGGAGTGTAAAATAAAGATGTTCCACTGCTGTAGGCTGGGGGCACTCAGTTATATCCTCAACTCACAGTAAATGATTGATTTCAATAAATAGAAATATATATCATGTTTTTGGAAGAAAACACTTAGTGGCATAAATATAGCCCTCAGCAAATAGAAAACTATGAATCCTTGATGGAAATATTTCACAGAATTAAAAAAACCTCTTAGGGTTACCATATAAATTTTATGCAAGTACACTTCAAATCTCAAAGTGTGTGTATGTGTGTGTGTTTTAGGAGAGTGAGAGTGAAAAATGAAATGATTTTAAAGTTCATCTGAAAAAAATAAATGGCAGGTTAGCCGAAACAAATTACGAAAAAGAAGCAAGCACAGGAGGGCTTAGCTTGGCTTACTACATATTAAAACTTACTGTGAAAACTGTTTATTGGCCCACATATATGCTCTAGAAATAAAATATTTAAAATACCTTCAGATTCCATCCTCGAAAATGGTAGCTGCATCACAGTACCTAATACAGTGACTTAAACATAGTACATACTTAATACGTAGTGCTGGGTGAATTCTTGAATAGAAATGTAGATGATTTTTATTTTATCCTGTGAGCTGAATTTATTCAGTGTCAGAATTTCTAAGTAAAATATTAATATAAATGAATGACCTGCTTGTTCTGTACTTTTGTTTAGCAGGTCACATCATTCTGTGCCAACTCTTGAAAACTGTCAAAATAGTCTGCTAATCTTCACTTGTATTTTGACTCAAATCTAAGTGAATAATGATTGGACTCAAATATATCTATACTATTTCATGATTATAAATATTTCTATCATATGATTCTTTTCCCCAAAACTAATCTTTCATATCTATTTACTAAGGAACAAGATAAAAATTTTAATCCATATCATTCTATTAATGATTGTGTGGAAATGTTCCTAATAATTTTTGGTGCTTACAATATCTTCTATCCATTAACTGTTATATAATGGTTTAATTGTGGTGACTTTAAAATACGACACAAATTGTTTGACAACCCTCCCTTCTAAAGATGAAGATATACCCCTTCCCCTTGAGTGATGGATTGGATTTAGTGACTCACTTCTAGAGTATAGAATGTGGCAGGAGTGATGAGGTGGGATTAGGTCATAAAAGAGAGTGTGACTTCATCCCTGCTCTAAGATCATTTGCTCTGGGAAGGAGCCAGCTGTATTGTTATGAGGACACTTGAGAAGTTCTGTGGAGAGATCCATGTGGCAAGGTATTGAGACCTCCTAACAACAGACCAGCAAGAATTCCACAATGTTTTGCAAGATAACTTAGAAATGGATCCTCCAGTCCCAGTCAAGCCCAGGCAAGTCTAAAATGACTATACCCCAAGTTGAAGTCTTGACTGCAACATCTGAGAAACCCTGAGCCAGAACTACTAATCTAAGCCACTTCCAAATTCTCGAATTACAGAAACTACAAGATAACAAAGGTTTTAAGCTGCTTGGTTTGGGGGTAATTTGTTATGCCAAAACAGATAATACAAATATTATACCGTTAATCTCATAAAAGGCATATTGGCCATCTTTTTAAATGCTATAGAGAATTACGTGTGTTAATTTCTGTGTTATGTCTTTCTCAAACTAGTTTGAAGCCATACACTCTGGACCATTTCAACATCATTATTTTAGAAAGATTTTAAAGAAATATAGGATGAAAGGACTTTGATAGTGCTCTAGAGACTGCTGATTAAATGCTATGAACAGATTTAATAATCTAGAAAGAACTTTATTGCTGTCCCATAATTAAATCTATTAATTTTTTTGAAAATAATTTTTCTTCTTAGCAAAAATAAAAACCCTATTTTAGAACAATTAGAAAATGCAAAGTAAAAAAATAAAGCTCATAAGCAATCCTACACCCAGAAATAACATATATCCTTTCATTGTGAGTGCATCTTTATTATTTTTACAAAAGTGAAATCATACTGTGCACAATATTTTTAATTTAACATGTCCACTTGTCATTTGATATCTCTCTTGTAATCTTTAAACATGCTGACTCTAGCCCTTGTCACCTCCTTCATCACTATCAGTCTCCATCAGATTACTATTATCTCTTACCTCAGCAGCTTGCAATGGCCTGCCATGTAGAGGAGACTTCCACTTTTGCCCCATACAGAAGCCAGGTTGATCCTTCTAGAACATTGTTAAGGTCACCTTAAAAAACCTAAATTCTTGTCTATCACCAACAAGGCCCTGCAAAATTTGGCCACTGCCCTCCTTTAAGCTCTCAGTGAGTCCTTGCTCATTGGCTACCTAGTTTGTCATCAGGACCTTATACTTAGCTCTGCCTTGAAATTTTTTCTCCCAGATAGTCATATATGGCTCACTCTTTCAGTTCATTTAGATCTGTTTAAAGATTATTTCCTCAGAGAAATAATCTTTATTTCAATAATCTTCCTTGACCACCCAATCTAAAAACTCTGCCTCTATCATTTAATTTTTAAAATATAATACATGTCATTACCTAACATTGTAGTATATGTTTGTTTCATTATTTGACACGATATATTTACCTGTTATTTGCCTCCCAAAAAGAATGTCAGTTCCAACAAAGCAGGGACTTCATCTGGCTTATTCATCACTCTATCCACATTGCTTAGAACAGTACCTGGTACAGTTAGGTGCTCAATAAATGTATGTTAATTAAAGGACCATATGGATGTACCATTTTAATTATTAATGCATAATAATTACTTGATATTTAAAATCCTGACAATTTTTCCTATTATGGGCAATTATGTCATGAACATGTGCATAAGTAAATATTTACATCCTATATGTGTTTCCTAAGATTTAGGAGTCAAAAGATATCATTTTTATGGTTTTTGATACAAACTGCCAAACTGCCCTCCATCAAAACATTATATTTTATACCATTCCAGAAATGAATGAGAGCTACTTTTTTCTCACTTTGCATAATAATGTACATTTCCCTTTTAAACACTGTCATTTTTATAGAGGAAAAATGGTTATTATTCAAATTTGCCTTTCTTCAGTTACTAGAGGGCAGATATTTGTTCATGTAACTATTATCCATTTGCATTTTTTTTTTTTTATAAGTTGCCTCTTCATGTCCTTTGCTTACATTTCTACTAATTTTTCCTTACTGGTAAGAGCTCTTTTTTATAATAAAGTGACCCATTGTCTAAACCATGTTAAAATGTAATTTTCCCAGTTTGTGGTTTGTCTTTAAGTTTTGATTATTATGTTTTAACTTTTTATCATGTAGAAATTTAAAGTTTATATGGTCAGGTTGATTACTCTTTCCCTACACAGCTTTTGACTTTGCTGTCACTTTTAGAAAGTTTTCCAATCCACTATTTGAAAAATATTCACCAATTATTTTCTTCCAATATTCAATCTTCAAAAACTAAAGAAAAAAAAAACAATATATTATAGCTGGAATTCATCTGGGAGTAAGCTGTGAGGTGAGGCTGTTGTTTCTTCCCCTCAAGTGGCTACCCAATTGTCCTCCTTTTAATAACTCATCCTTTCTCCACTGAGGTAGATGTGAAATTGTGAGATGCCACACACACAGGCCTTTTTCTCCTTCTTTTAATAAACAATACGTTTTGGACCTGAGCCAATCATTCTTAAGGAACACAGAAATATTTTTATTACGTCCAGTAACTAATTTGATACTAGGTACACAGTAATTTGGTATTAGTACTCGAGTAATACTGGATACACTTACTAAGGAAATGACTCAATACATTTGCCCAAGCCACATTACAACTCAATTTAAGTATATCTGGCTTCCCTGGTGGCACAGTGGTTGAGAGTCTGCCTGCTAATGCAGGGGACACGGGTTCGTGCCCCAGTCTGGGAAGATCCCTACATGCCGCGGAGCGGCTGGGCCCTTAGCCTACGGCCGCTGAGCCTGCGCGTCCGGAGCCTGTGCTCCGCAACGGGAGAGGCCACAACAGTGAGAGGCCCGCATACTGGAAAAACAAAAAAGAATGTCAATCTACTTATACCGAAGTTGATAATCACTTTTTAAAAAGGTTGGCTTCTGGAAGATTCAGAATAGTGCGTCAGGGTTCTCTTCCGAAAGCCTTCAGAATCCTGGGAGTCCAATGGGTCAGAAGAGACACAGGAAGAACCCATGTTAGGCTCGTTCACATCTAGGGAGAGAGATGCTGCCAGAAGAGCCCACGGAGCTGATGAAAACAGGTAGTAGGAGACTCTCTTTAGAAGTCCTCTTAATTTTTTAACTAGGGTCTCGATTTTGAACAGTATCGCTTTGGATTTAAATACCCTGAGTGATTTAGATGCAGCAGAAAAAAAAATAAGAAAAAGCTACAGAAAACTATAGTTGTTTTGTGGCCTCAGAAAAGCAAAATGCTTATTTCCTAAATCCCGGAGAACAGTTTATATTCTTGGGGTAGATTGCGGAGGGGAGGGGAAGAGGCGGATTTTCTCCCGCGACGTTCTATTCTAACGCTTGCTCTAGCCGTCCACAATACTTTTGGGTTCACTGAGCCGAACCAGATCTCTCAACAGATTTTACCCAAAACGCTAAGTGCGGGAGGCAAAGCCAGATATACGAACATCCCGCAACTCTAACCTCTAATAGCTCCTTCGTGGCAGGCGGGACAACAGCCCAGCGAAGAAATGAAAGAGCTAGACCTGGGGCCTTTGTGTGGGGCGGGGCATTTCTGGCTGAGATCAGATTTCTGGCGTCAGCTCCACCCACGCGTCAACTCCCTCTAGGAAACATCTTTATTCGACTTCCTCTCATCCAGGCCGCACCTCTCGCCCCAATTCCCTCACAGCATCTCTCGGTACTGTGTTTCATTAACCCGACAGTCATTTTCCCACTCCCTACTAAGGGCCGCAGTTTTAAGAGTTACTGCCGCGTCACCTTAGCAACCGTGTCTCTAATGGCCGCCGGAAGAGACTACGATCACGTGCTCCCTGAACGTCCGGATTTGTAACGTGACTTCCGGTTGTCAGAATTTCCCCAGACGCGGAGACTCCCGAGGAGGAAAAGCTGTGTGGCCCGAGGTCGCCGTGGCCCCAGGGGTGGTGGCCTCCGGGTGGGCTCTTCTCATCCTGCCCCGTCTGCGATGCATCCGCGGCGCCCGGACGGATTCGATGGCTTGGGCTATCGGAGTGGTGCCCGGGATGAGCAGGGCTTTGGCGGCGCTTTCCCTGCAAGGTCCTTCAGCTCCGCGTCGGACCTGAGCCACTGGGTGACAACTCCCCCAGACATCCCGGGTAGCCGCAACCTGCACTGGGGCGAGAAGAGCCCGCCCTACGGTGTGCCCCCTCCCTCCACCCCGCTCGAGGGTCCAGCAGAGGAACCCTTTCCCCGCGGCGGCGGCGGCGGCGGCGGCAGCGTGCCCGGGCAGAGCAGCGGTAAGGGACCTGGGGCGCACGGTAGGGGCGGGTGGAGTGGGGAGCCGCAGACCGGGTCATGCATACCCCGGAAGCCGCGCGGAGGGTCCCGCCTCCCGGGCCTCCCGACCTATCGCGCGCCACACCCTCTGCCCTCCTTTAGTCCTCTGCCCCTGAAGCGGGCCTCCTCCCGCTTCTTTACACCAATGTTTTCTCCGGGATCACCTCCAAAAGAAGACGACTGACTTAGCTGTGGTCTGCATGGTAGGATTTCGGAGGGTTTTGGCATATTACATTCCATGACCTGAATCAAGAAAGACGGAAATGGTTTACTGTTTATTGGGAATCATGTGAAAAATACCTAATTGACCAACAGCTATATTTCCTTGAAATGTGGAAGGAAAGAGAAGTATTTCCAGCAAAGGCAGTCTTGGGCTCAAATCTGCCTCTACCACTCTTAAAAGCTGAGAGACTTTCTTAACCTCTGTGATTTCTTAGTGTTCTCATCTTTAAGGTGTGTAGAAGAATAACTCAGGGTTTTATAAGTGTCAAAACAATGAGGTGTGAGTAATGCCTAGTACAGTATGGAGCACAGAGTAGGCTAAAAGTGTATCTTTCCTTTTTCCATTTACTCATAGTAATTGTATCTGTTCTAGATCCCCAAACTACCCCTGTATTTTCGCACCTCCTGCTTTCTTTCTCTGACTTAACTCCACTGAAAAGTCAAAATCACTAAGAGATTTTCAAGATAAGTCTTTGGAATCAAGACATAATTATTCTCTGTAGCATGTCAGAAGACTTGTTTTAATTTCAACACTGTATGATCTGGATATTGTCAACATCTGCTGTATTCGTAAAATGGAAATAATGCCTGCATCTTCCCATTCTCCTGAAATTTTTAAAATAATAGATTACATCCTTAAATATTATGTATATTCCAGACATAAATTGTATTCTCATTTCTTTGATTTCGACTTGGAAATACAGTAATATTTATTTGATTTGGGTTACTGGGAGGAATAGACTTCAAATGTCATCCAGTGAGGACAGATGGAGGAGGATCAGTGACTTACTCAATGTCATACAGTTAGTTTTTTCACTCTGTCTAGTTTTTTTTTTCCTACAGGTCCCAGAAGGAGTGCTGGAAAGTTATAAATGATTGAAAATGCATGTACGATTGCTACACAGTTACCTTTAGGCAGTAAAGCTGATGTTTTTATCTTTTCATAATGTATGCTTTGATGGTTACAATGAGGAGGAGCTCTTAATAACCAGGGTTTTGTGGGGGTTTTTTGCAGCAGTTTAGAGGCTGGTGAATAACTGCAAAGAGGATAGAAGCCTGAGAGACTTACACAGTTAACAATAGTAAACCTTCCTAACACCTTCCAGAAAATGTCAGTGGTATTTTCTGTTAATATTAGCAGATGACCTGTACACACACAAAAAGGGAAAAGCTGAAAGAAGGAAAGTATCTTAATTGGGCAAAAGAAGCTTCTCTCTACCTTGCATGTTTTTCAAGGCAATAGTGAACCAAGTGGTTTCCCCAGAGACTGTTTACGTGACCTTGTTCTGTCTGTCAGGGAATAGTGAGGGCATTACTTCATTCAAAAGAGCAGAGATGAGAGGGAGGGATTGGAGAAGAGAGGGGAGAGAGAAAAGAGGATGAGAGAAAAATTATCCCTTGTGAATATTGTATTATAGCTGAAATTTAATGTCTGGTCTCTTGGGGTTGTGATATTTCACCATTATGATTTTAAGTTTTCCAATTAAGTAGAAAAAGGTTTTATTTTCTGTTTTGACATATGCATAGGAATTTTCCAGCTGTAAACTCTTCTAATAAGACTATAGATATGCCATCAGCTATAGTGCATATGGATGCAGTAGTCTATCACCGAGACCTAATTAAGCAGCTACTATCAAAGTATTTAAAACTTGGGGAAGTAGAGAAGAGAGCCTTATTTACCCATTTCAGTTACCCTAAGTGCTCTTTCAATTTAATAATTTTCATGGGTATTTTTGCTTGCAACTAGTGGCTTAACATAGATGCTCTCCATCAGTAACAGTGAAGGACGAATTTTACAACATGGGAGGTAAAGTTGGTGAAAGTATCAGTCAGAGTCTTCTCTAGAAAAAATTTTAAATTATTTGTAGTCAGAAGTTGAAAACTGGTAGCCCTTAGATTCTACCTGCAAACGTGTTTGATTTGGTCCACACAACATTTTAACGCTTTTTAAAATAGTTGCTAGTATTTTAAGATTGGAAGATGCTATATAAAAATGAGAATATCTCTTTAGAAAAATCACAGCTTTGAAACCTTGGACTCAGAGTCCCATGTGGCAACAATGGATTGGAGCTGAAAAGCAGTTGGGCCTTTAGAAGGTCTACACCTTGCAACTTGCCACAAGCCTCCAGAGAGCTCTTCACTTCCTCAGATGGCCTCTCTGGCCCCTATCAGAATTTGATTTTGGTACATGGAGTTTAAATGAATATCATGTTAAAAAGAAAATACTTTTTGTTGTTTTCACAGTAAACCTAAATAATGGTTATGAGTAATCTTATTCCTTCTGTTTTAGAACAGCTGAATAGATTTGCTGGATTTGGTATTGGACTTGCAAGGTAATTTTGTCTAAAGATTTTTAATTCAAGTTTTTATTTAAAGTTCTTTCTTTAATTTATAATGTTAGGTAATTAGTATTGCTTTCTTTAGAGCAGTAGTTAAAATATTGAAAAATATTTTGCAGAAAAAATTTATTATTTAAAATCGATAACTTGATTTTTTTTCCCAGTAAGGATAGAGAATAGTCATTCAATTTTATAAACACAAAATAATTTTGTAAGGAATATTGTAAGAAGTTTCATGTATCTATCCAAAGAATAAAATAAAATCTAATCTTGTCTCCCAAAAAAAAGTAATTGTGCATTGAACCTTTTTGCTGAACATTAGAATTATAACAAGATATTTAGCAACATGGCATCTAGGTTTTACTTACATGATCGTTAAAATCCATATAACTTAAGTGCAAAGCACATCAAAACCAAAATTTACAGAATTTATAGGGCAGATGGCCCTTCTGATAGGAACTTTGTTCATAGGACATCCTCTGAAAGAAATGGAAAGGGGCATTTAAATTGTCTAGGAAAGAAGTTTTCCATATCAGGCATACAAGATGTAGTTTCATCTTTATACTGTATATATTAATATTATATATGTTGTTGCTTTTGCTTACCAGTTTGCGAATCTGGCTTTAGTTTTTTTCATATTGAATCTTGTTATTGGTACAATGATTTGCAAACATGTCTAGACATTTGAAAACTTTTTTTTTAATTTTAAGAAAAATGCATAATGTAAATAATGCATGATTCTTCAAGAATAAATTCAGATTTATATGTGTTGTAAATTAAATGTTATAAATTATTATTTTATAGTCTTTTTACAGAAAATGTACTGGCCCATCCCTGCATTGTTCTACGCCGCCAATGTCAGGTAAATGTACTTTCTATGATTTTCTAAACAGTAATTCTAACCCTGATTTGAAGTACAGACCTCAGATAAATGACTGAGACCATGTAACCATTATCCCATGTGACATTCACCAAAATCTATATCAGTTCTCAAACTTCTTGGTCTTTGAAAGCTCTTAAGTCTTAAATATTATTGAGGTCTCCAAAGAACAATTGTTTATATTGATTATATCTATCAATATTTGCCATTTCAGAACCCCAAACTGGAAAAATTTATGCACACGTGTATATATATATATATATATATATATATATATATATATATATATGTTTAATTAAAATATTAATATCTTAGATACTGATCATTAGATCATTAGTATCATTAGATACTGACATAAATAGCCTTTTTATGAAAAATCACTATTACTTTTTTGAAAATACCTTTAATGTCTGGCATAATAGAAGGCAGCCAGATTTTCACATCTGCTTCTATAGGCAATTTGTTGCAACACTTTGTTTTTGAAAGAAACAAGAGGTAATGGCAGATATTCTTCTTTGATACTACACCAAAACTCAATAAGTGGTAACTTTTTAAAAGTTATTTGCAATGTGAAATCTGAAACCACGTCAATCAACTTTTTATACCCTGTTACATTAAAAGCTATTGATTTGTACTTCATGTTGAATAGATTTTTTTTGTGTGTGGTACGCGGGCCTCTCACTGTTGTGGCCTCTCCCGTTGCGGAGCACAGGCTCTGGACGCGCAGGCTTAGCGGCCATGGCTCACGGGCCTAGCCGCTCCGCGGCATGTGGGATCTTCCCAGACTGGGGCACAAACCCGTGACCCCTGCATCGGCAGGTGCACTCTCAACCACTGCACCACCAGGGAAGCCCTCAGGTTTATTTATAGTAATCCTTTAGCCAGGGCTGTCCTAAGAGCACTCTAGATAAAGTCTCTTCCTCCTAGTAAGTGTAACTAGTCTATTTATCTGAAGATCCCATTGACAAAGAGATTAACCTGGGACTCTCAACCACTGTGCCACCAGGGAAGCCCTTGAATAGTTTTTTTACGTGTGCATGCTTCTGTTACATCATGCATTGATTAATTGAAAAATACTAATTTACTGAATCATATAGATCATCTAAATGTTATGACATTTGATTTTACAGTATCAAAAGACCACCGTCATTAAAATCACTACCAGTCTCACCAGAAAAGCGTTTCAGTTTTCATACGATCTTGATAGTGGATATAAGTTTTACAGAATTATAATTTTTGCTTGTAAGCTCAAATTTATCATTGGCAACAAATACTGTTGTTGTTGTTTAATCAACAAGCCCACTTTGTTCAGTTTTAAAAACATGTTATCCCAAATGTGAATAACTATATTCTGTTAGTTTTTCCAGAAAAAATGTTGATCCATGAAAAAAGTGGTTAGTTCAGGCTCACAACTCCATCGGACAAGTTCTTTTCCTTATGACAGCCATCTTCGTTATGCAACACACAAAATATTAATGAGAAAGATGATGTGTACTCAAGAGTCAGCATTTTATAAAATAAATGTGTCTTACTGCTTCACCAAGGGCATTCTTTAGGGAAAGTGGCTTTTGCCTCTTTATAAGTGAGTCGGATAAAGAATACAATAAGTACAAAAATATAGTTTGGTGCCACTGCCTTCATGCATGCTACGAAGTGAGTAATTTTACCCACCATTGCTTTTGCAGTATTACTGAAAATGTCAACACAGTAAAAAAGGCAGATGATGCTTTAGTATCAAGAAAATAATTTTGAACTTGTCAATCCCCTGAAAGGGTAATGAGGCCCTTGAGGGCTAGTGGACCACACTGGCAAAAGCTCCTATAATATAACTTATCTTCTTTGAAAATTGAGTTAGACAAGATAGAAATAGTTAAAAATTAAGCTGTTTATGCTTAGCACCAAAAAGTAAGCATATAGAGAGAAATAGCTATTTAAATAGCCCTAACAGTGTTACATACACTAGAACAGTGAATTTCAGGCATATATTTTACATTGTGACAACATCACATTGTGATCCAGTGTATACTTCTATATGAGTAACTTTTTAAAATGTTTTAGCAAATAATACCTTCAGAATGTATGATGCATTCTGATACTTTCCTTTTTATTATTTCACTTAATAAGTATTAATTCTGACCCCGTATACTGATTTCATAATTTACCAATTGTTTGTAGCTTGTTATTGCTTGCCATTGGTAGACAGGAATCTGCTGTTCCCTGAGTTCTTCGTGGTTCCTATGTGTTAATGGCATGAGCATTTTGCCTCACTGAATGTAATTCTGGTGTTTAAGGAAACATAAATATCAAACACCAAGGCCCTCTTTATTATATATTCTACATTACTATGTATATCACACATTGGTCTTCAGGGCTGTATTTGTACAACCTCATGTACTGTACTTTTAAGTTATTTAAAGCACTTTCAAGAGTAATTTTGCTTATGTGTAATTTATGCTGACTTTAGAATTGAACTTTCATTTATGCTATGACTCACTGTATCTTTCATGACTTTTTATTTCTTAACAAGACAATAACAGAAAATAACCATGAAATATCTTTTTTTACAGGTTAATTACCATGCTCGGCTTTATCATCTCACTCCATTTACAGTCATCAATATTATGTACAGCTTCAACAAAACTCAGGTGAGAATTAGTCTGTACATTCTATTAAAGTTATTTGTAATGTGCCATTTTGCCTTAGTAATAATTAAAGCAACAATAATTCCTTTTAGTTATTAAAGATATTGTAACTCTTATACTAAAACTAACTTAACATAATGACATCTTCTTGATATCACTGAATAATCAGTAAATTCACACCTTTGCCAAAATTAATTAAATATTAGGGGTATTTAATCCATATTAGAGATAATTAATTGGAGTGTTTATCTTCACCTAAATGTAGGCCACCCAACAAATGTTAAAATAATGATAGGACTTACTTCAGTTGTAGTTCTTTACTAAAATGTCCTTTTGAATAATGCCTTACTGGAAAATATCAGTAAACATTCAATATCAAGTTTTATTAAGACCTTTTTTTGGTTTCTTTTTTATGCATTAACAGAAATAACCATAAATTTTGTTCATTTTAGGGACCAAGGGCTCTTTGGAAAGGAATGGGAAGTACATTTATTGTTCAGGGAGTCACACTTGGAGCAGAGGGAATAATCAGTGAATTCACACCTTTACCAAGGTACCTTTTTGGCATTTTCTCAGATTAACTTCATATTAAATATATGACAAAATATGATAGTTGCTAAAAATACCTTGAATTTGAAAACTTGCCTGAAGTAGCTAAGAGAAGAAACTGAGAATAAATAATTAATTATATCTTATGGAATTAGTATGTGATAAAGAAAATGCTTCCTGGTCTAATATCTATTGAGCTCTTTCAGCTCCTACTGCTATATATCAACAATTATCAACTAAGGAACAAACCTGAGTATGTGAGCAATTCCTGTTATTTAAGTGGCTAGCTTGGTGAAGGAGACACATGTAAGCAAATTTTACTACATCGTGATTAGTGCCGTAATTAAACAAACCCCTTTCAGAGTGCAGGGGACACTTTGCGTGGATTTATTGGCAGAGATTTTTTTAACAGCCTGAAATCTGAGCTAGATCTGGAATTATGAGTAGGAAATACCTTGGCAGAGAAGGAGAGCAAGTAGAGGTCACAGCATGCCCAATTTTATGGAAGTTGGAAGGTCCAGGTGATAAGAAGTGTCTTGTGCTTAGAATATTGGGCATGTGTGGAGTAGAATAACGTGAAAAGAGGCTGAGGTGCTAGACTAAAGCATGGTTCTGCCTTTGTAAGTGACTTAGGCTTTATTGTCTATGGAGTTGGGAATCTAAGGGGGGGGATTGTTTCTTTTTGTTTAATATATGGGTTCTTTGATCAAGGATTTCTCAAGTGGCAGTGTTTTTTTAAAACATGGAGTGTTGTAGACAGAGACTTACGGAGAACTGTTACAGTAATCTAGGCCAGACGGAGAAGGGTCTGAACTATGGAGTAGAACAGAAGGGAGGAGCTGGATAAACATTTCTAAAGTATAATAGATAATTGGTGATAGATTGGGAATGGGATTATGGGAGAGTGAATTAGCAGCAGTGACAGATTTCTAGATTGGAATTGAGTTGGAGAATTTATAAAGAAGAGTAAGTTGGAGTCAGAAAGAAGATAAGGAATGTAACTGTCAATAAATGAAGTTTGAGGGACTTCCCTGGTGGTCCAGTGGTTAAGAATCTGCCTTCCAATGCAGAGGATGCGGGTTCGATCCCTGGTCAGGGAACTAAGATCCCACATGCCGCGGGGCAACTGAGCCCGCATGCTGTAACTACTGAGCCCGCGTGCACTAGAGCCCGAGCATTACAGTTAGAAAGAAGCCCGCACACCACGAGAGATGCCCGCATGCTGCAACAAAGATCCCGCATGCTGCCAAATAAGACCTGATGAAGCCAAATAAATAAATAAATAAATATTTTTGGATAAATAAATAAAGTTTGAGATTCATGCAAGACATCTAGGGGGACATGCCTAGTAGTGGTTGGAACTGTGGATCAGTCTCAGAGACAATTTAAAGCTGGAGGCATAGCTTTGAATGTGTGGCACTAAAGTGGCAGTTGAAGCTTTGGATGAATTTCCCTAAGGAGGACGTGTAGACTAGATGACAGAGAGTGGACCAAGGACAGAATCCTGGGCGGTGTGTGAGTGCACGTGTGTGTGTGTGTGTGTGTGTGTGTGTGTGTGGTAGGAGAGGTAATAGAGGGGAGTAGTAAGAGATGTTCACAAAAAAAATTAACAAGAGCAGTAAGCTGTAGGACAGTGGTGGCCTGCAAGCCAAGAGAGGAGAATCAGAATTGTAGATTCTTTGGGAGGGAGAGGGTAGAGAAATTGGAATGTTTGATTCTGGGTATATTTTCTCTCTGAAACAGGGTACAGGTGAAACCATACTGGGGTGGTTTAGATAGAGCATAAGAACAATGATAGACGTTTGAGACAGTCACAGCTATGAGTAACAGGAAGGGGATCTTACAAGGAATACATGAAAATAATGTTAAGAGAGAATGTTGGAGATCATAAATTTGTTTAGGTGCTATTTGGCAGGACTCTGGGATTTCCTGTATCAACAGTAAATCCCAGGGATGGAGTTAAAGACCGAGTGGTTTGTTATTCCAAAATTGGCCCCTGGCAGGGTGAATTTTTTGGATTGACAAGGAAGTGAGGTAGTTGAAGGTGCAGCCACTAGCATCTCAATCTGAGAATCAGTCTTTGTAGGGAAGGAAGTAAAGGCAGAAGAGACTGATATCAGGCTTTTTGCCAGTGTGATTGCTTTCAAAGGACCATATAGCTTTGAAGTTCCTTTAACACAGCTTTGCTGAGTGTTACAGAGAAAACAAAAAATGTTTTGTCAGCTAAGTTTCTCCTCTCATACTTAAAAAAAATCTGAATTTCTGCCCTTGGCTAACTTTATTCACCCCATTGTTTTTCATATCACAGGATAAGATCAAAACTTAGTACTTGTCATCAAATGTTCTTGAAGTTCTCCCACAAACACAAAATTTTATAAAAATTTAACGAAATTCAGTAATTTCTGTACCGCAAAGAGTAAAGAATTCTGTATTTGCAGTCAGAACACTGTTGGTCCTGACTATTCCACTTTTTAGTTCTGGGACCTTAGGCAAGTAACACCATTTCTCTAAAGCAGAGATGAAATAGTAACTTTAACTTCAGGTTGAAGGGAAGGGAAAAGAGAAATGAGAATGAGAAGGCACAAAATTTTGTTAAATTTTATTATCTAACTTTCTTACTCTGTAGACACACAGACACATCAGTTGTGTGGGTATGTATTGTCTGTTGGTCATTTGAATCTTATTAAAGAAGACAGAAAAGGTTGTCTTTGTGGTATCCTACTTGGGTTAAATTTTTGTGGTAAATCTCACTCATTACTTCATTTATTTATTTAGCTCATACTTCCTGAGTCCCTACTATGTGCTAGGTTCTGTGCTAGAAATCAGGTATATAGTGAGAAGAAACAAAAGGTACCTGTGACCATGAAACTTGGGATCTAGTGTAAGGGACATATGTTAAGTAAAATAATCCCACTAATGAATGAATAATTACAAACTGAGGCTTTTTCTCTAAAAGAAAAGAATATGGTTCTGTGACAGTATTAGAGTGTTAGGAACAGTGTCCCTAATAAAATGACACTTAAGCTGAGATCCGAATGGCACTCAGGAGACACAGACCAGTTGGTGCAGAGGCAGTGCGGCAGGGGGAATGTGGAGAATTCCTGTGATTGAGGGAAGGCTCATAGGGTTTGAGCTCAGAGAGCAGGATGGAGAGCAAGAGCCAATCTGCGCTTGGCCTTGTAGGCCACTTTAAGAATATTGAGGAGTTTTAAGCAGGAGTCAATGACATGATCAGATTTATGTTTCTAAAGGGTCATTGTAAGTGGAGATGAAAAGATTGCAGGAGGACCAAAGTAGAGAAAAGGATACATGTTCATAAGCTATCACCATCTAGGTGAGAAATATGGTAACTAGGACTAGGATGGTATCTTTTGAGATGGATGTAAATAGATGATTTTGAGATATATTTAGGTAAAATTGATGGAACTTGATGATGGATTAAAGTTAGTTGATGATAGACAGGGTGTCGAGGATGACTTCTAGGATTTTGGCTTGTGTAACTAGATGTCAAATGAAGCCATTCTCAGACATACAGTGTAAACATTTTTTTTTTTAATTCTAACTTATTTGGGCAAGGTTGACTTTTCTTGGGGGAAAACAAAGTCATAGCAGACACAGTATTAAAGCAGAAACCCAAAGCATTTCACAGAAGTTACCACTTGAGGAGGATGAGCTCTAGGGTCTCTGAGACTGAGGTTCACGGTGATCACTAGGTACAACAGGTGAGACAGTCTGGATTCACCAATAATTTTTTATACTGATTATGATCACATCTGAATTTGTGATCTGATCACATTATAGTTTCTCAGTATTTATTACTTTTTTAAAAAAATGTATAAAGCCCAGGATCATCATCTGTGATCTCTTTATCTACTGTTCAGATCCCTCCTAAATTCTTCCCCAAACCTTCCCCCAGGTGGAGTGAGTTAGACTTTGTGTTGCTCTACCCTGAAGTACCCTTTCCTTTCACGTGGCATTTCTCAAATCATTAACATAAGGAGCACCTCTAACCAAGGCTACCTGTATAGTTCAGTCTCTCACAGAATCCATTTAGTTGAACTCCAGCTTAGTTTGACTCATCTCACATTTGTAGTTGTACCAGTACTGTTTTACTGTTTTCTCCTCATGTTGTCTGTTTCTCCTAATGACTCCTCTGAATTCACTGACCTGAAACACATTCCATTTTAAATACAATGAACTCTTTCTCCAATTCAATAGATTTCCTTTCTGATTAAGTTCTCAATTAGGGAACAGTAAAAGAGTCTAAGAGTAAGAAAGAAAAGTTATAAGTCTGATTTTGGACAAGTTCATTTTGACACAGAGAGAAGTCTAAACTGAAGATAATAGATTTGGGAGGTTCTGAAGCATCATCTTGGGTAAGATTGCCTGGGGAAGGAATGTAACTTATATAGTAAGAAAAGAACAGGGCTTGAGCCTTTAGGAACTCCAGAATAGGTTGCTGAGTTCAGAAAAATGCCCCTGCAAAGGAGTCAAAAGTAGAGACCAGAAGAGAGGAGAAAAACCAGAAGAGTATGGGATAGTGGAATACAGGGGCAGGGAGTGCTTCCAGAAGGAGGGAAGAACACAAGTGCATGTTGGCTGCTGAAAGGTCAAATAAGGCACAACCTTAAAATGCCTATTTGATTTAGTGATGTGGAGGTCATGGGGACCTTGGCAAGAGTTGTTTTCTTAGAATAATAGGGTAGAAGCCTATTTGGAATGGGTTCAGGGTGAGTGGGAAGCTAGGACATGGAAATAGCAAGTTTAGACAGTCCTCTGTGAAGAGGAGAGATGAAGAGAAGGAGCTGGAAGATGAGGGGCTTGGGTTACATTGAGGGAAGATTTTTTTTTTAAGAGCGCAGTTTGAGCACGGGAAAATAAGAGGCAATGGAAAGTAGACTGTATAAATAGAGGGTTATTTAAAAATTCTATTGCATTTGTGTATTGATTATGCATGGGAGTATGTGTGTTAGTGTGTCAAATGAAAAACTGATAAAAAGTAAGTCACTTCACTTAATTTTGTTGCTCATTTGAAGGGCAGTTTTTGCTTGTGAAAATAGCGAGTTAAATATACTTATATATTTTGGCATTTGATGATGAAATATAAAAAGGTTTAATCACAAGTAGATTTTTACACTACCCTTTTTCCTGAAGCATTTAAATATGCTAATTTAAATTTATAGAGCTGTGGCAATAAGTTTTACACATTTTATAAAGGAGTAGAAAGCAGATACCAGGAAGAGCGTCTCGGGGTTTTTTTTATACTTGATTCTAAATTTCTTTTTTCACTCTTTTTACCTTAATCCTAATAATCTTACGAACCGGCCGCAGTAATTAGTATTCAAAGGAAAGGTGGCCCAGTCCTTACAGAAATGCAGGTCACAGACCCATCTATCCATAATGTTAATGGAGTGCACAAACTTAATGTCATAATAACCTGTGATAACCCTTTCTGAGGCCATAGTAAGAGTAATAGCAGTGCCCAGAAATTTTCCAAAACTTTTAGCATATTTTGTTTTATAATCATAAAGTCACTGTCAGTAAGTTAAGTAGCCTAATCTTTTTTTACAATTTTCGTCTTAATCATTAAATGTCATTCCAGCTGCATTTTTCGATAGTTGTTCAGGCCTCATATAGTATTCTGGTATTAATTTAATCAGAATGTGATGAATCAGAGATGGTTGTTCTGTTGTCTAAAAGTTTCTCTGCAGACCTTTCAGTCTCCTAGAAAAATGTAGAAAAGTTCACATACCACCCATGCCATAAGTGTACTGAGTTTGTTTTTAGAGCACTTACATTATCAGTGATTAATTTCCTTTACCTTTTTAGTATAAAATATATTCCTTTGTCTCCTTATGATTGTCATACTTACTCATTTCAAATAGAAAATGTTTTTCTCAGGTTCCTGCTGTGGCTGTGGTACATGGGTGCCAATGTCATCAGGGGAGCAGGTGGCAGCCAGTCTCCCCTTTATTTTACATTTTCCTTTTCTCTGTTACTCTGCCTTCCTCCCTCCCCTCACATCCCTTCCATCCCCTCTGTCTGCCTTTTCATTCCCCCCCCCCGCCCCACACCGCCTCCTTTTTACTTTCCCTTTTATTCTCCATGTTCTTTTCTCCTTTTTGACTTTTCTCTTGATATAACTTTCTCCCTTTTTGTTCTTCATTCAGCTTGCCTCTCTTCTTTTTCTTCTCTCTTTTCTGGTTTCCAAAGGTAACCTAAATAGTAGGAAGCACGCAGTCCTAGACCTTGGTTCCAGACCTGGCATTCTGCCTCTCTCCTTTGAACATATCCCTGTGATCTTTTTTTTTTTTACATCTTTATTAGAGTATAATTGCTTTACAATGGTGTGTTAGTTTCTGCTTTATAACAAAGTGAATCAGTTATACATATACATATGTTCCCATATCTCTTCCATCTTGTGTCTCCCTCCCTCCCACCCTGCCTATCCCACCCCTCCAGGCAGTCACAAAGCACCGAGCTGATCTCCCTGTGCTATGCGGCTGCTTCCCACTAGCTATCTACCTTACATTTGGTAGTGTATATATGTCCATGCCTCTGTCTCGCTTTGTCACAGCTTACCCTTCCCCCTCCCCATATCCTCAAGTCCATTCTCTAGTAGGTCTGTGTCTTTATTCCCATCTTACCCCTAGGTTCTTCATGACATTTTTTTTTCTTAAATTCCATATATATGTGTAAGCAAACAGTATTTGTCTTTCTCTTTCTGACTTACTTCACTCTGTATGACAGACTCTAGGTCTATCCACCTCATTACAAATAGCTCAATTTCGTTTCTTTTTATGGCTGAGTAATATTCCATTGTATATATGTGCCACATCTTCTTTATCCATTCATCCGATGATGGACACTTAGGTTGTTTCCATCTCCGGGCTATTGTAAATAGAGCTGCAATGAACATTTTGGTACATGACTCTTTTTGAATTATGGTTTTCTCAGGGTATATGCCCACCTGTGATCTTTTTGACCTTTATTTTTCTCATAAGTAAAAGAAATAGGACAGTACCTGCTCTGCTTATCTCACAGGATTCCTTCTTGTATCAAATGAGGTGAGAGGCAGTACAGGCAGATAGTATAGACTTCAAGTCATACGGACCATGGTTTAGACCAAGTTGCACCGCTAACTAGTTGCATGGCTTTGGGTAAGTTTTGAACCATCTCTGAGCCGATTTCCTCATCTATGAAATTGGGGGTTATAGGTTCATTGTGAGGGTTAGAAGTAATTTATGCAGAGTGCTTTGCACAATGCCTGGCATATAGTAGGAGCTAAAAAAGATAATAGAATATAATAAAGGTCACAAAAGTAATGTCATCTCAATAAGTAAAGGCACTTTGAAAATTACGGGCTATACAAATGTATGTGTCATTCTGAATTACAGTTACTTAATTTTGTTTTGTTTTCTAATTCTCATTCTTACATACATTTTAAAGCTTTTTTTATTCCTTTATCCTATTTTATTGTTTACCTTTCTCTTCCCCATCAATTGTTTTCCTCAGTCTATCATTTTTGCATCTTATCTAATGTCTCATGTTCATTTTTATAGTCAGTTATAACTCTTCCTCCTCTGTCATCCCCTTCTGTCAGCACATACAGAAAGACCTTCTATGTTTTTTCTCTTTTCAACCCACTGTAATTGTTTGACGGGTCCCAGAAAGGAAAATGTTCATCATGAGAATATATTTCTCCTACAGATTAAAAAAAATTAAAAATTGATTACTTTTTTAAAGCTTAAGCTAATTCAAGATGTTTTAGAAAACATGGCTTTTACTTTATTTATTTTTTAGGGAGATTTCACATAAATGGAATCCTAAACAAATAGGAGAACACCTTCTACTGAAATCGTAAGTATCGAAAGCAGCATTTATATCCATTTTTATAGTGTTAGAACTGAAAAAAAGCTTATTAAATAAACAAAGTGAAGGAAAGTAGAGCAATGAAATATTTGTGGGACTAGAACTTAATCAGAAAAGTAACATAGAATTTAGGAATAAAATCCTGAAATATATGTTGTCTTTTAAATAACCCTTCTAATTTGAAAGGCTAAAATCACAACCTAATTTTTCTTTGCATTCTTAGGAAGTTAGCAGAGATCTTCAACTTGTTAAACCTGAATTGCCAGGAAAATTATTACTCTTATTATTATTATCATTATTCTCTTAGTAAGCAGACATACAAATTTATATTTGTATGGTGATGAGTAAACTCAAACAAAACCTTAGTGTCATTAAAACGTAGTCCTAAAGGCACTTAGTGACTTTACAACACTGACCATTTTTATGGATTAGAATTTTACTCTTCATTTTTTAATTTTTTTTGAAGATTGGGAATTGGAAACCCCCCAGCTTGCTGGCTCCCTCTGTGGGACATTCCAGCACATTTTTACTTAGTGATGTTCCATTCACCTTGAAAACCACTACTTGCCAGGACCTGGCCCATAGGGTTAGGTAAGTCCCACCTTGACATTATTTTAAATAACTATATTTTGCAGGCTTGCAAAGTTGTAATATTACTATGTCTAAATAGTGGCAATAGGAGGCAACTTTGCAAAGCTGTACAATATTGTTTTTTAATAATAAAAGGGGACTTCACTTACCATGGAAGACTGGCTTAGCTCTGCTGGGTGGGAAATCTGGGAATGGATAATGATAATAGATAGGACAATAGCAGAACAGTAGCCTTGTTGAGATATCACTAAAAAGGCAAGCAATGGAATGGATCCCTCAACCTAAATTTTAGGTATCAGATATACAGGCTACATTAGCTATGTGCAGGTAGACGTCCAAACAGTGAATCATAAACAAGCCTACATTTTACTGGTTTAAAATAATTTTCTTTACAGGCTGTCACTGTGTTATTATTAATACTTAATTTTTCATCTCTAATTGTTGAGTAAAGCATCTTCTGTTACAGGTCTCCGAAGTATCTTTAGGCTATAGGTATTAATAGTTAAAAACCTTGAATATATTATTCAAGCTTGAGTATAAATTATGTTGATGTATTAATGTAGATATTAAAAAATTTAGTGTAAGCATCTTGTTTCAGTATACTGATAAGTTTGTTTTAATTTCTACAGCCTAACTTATATAGTGGCAATGCCTTTTTATTCAGCAAGTCTAATCGAAACAGTACAGGTGAGCTATTTTTTCCTGTCTTTTTTTAAATTAAAAATGTTGTTGGAATATTCAGTATATTGTGTATGTCTGATAGTATAACAGAAAAATTTAAGACAGTATCCTTCTAAAAAAATTATTTTTTCTCAGATACCATACATATATCAAAGATTATATACTAGGCACACTGCTGGTGTGTCTGTTTCCTTTGCAAATTTACTTCACACTTTTAATTCTTTTTATCCCTTACACAGACAGCTGTACTCTTCATTCAGATATCTCAGAAACCAGCCTATGAATACAAAAAAATCTATAGGGTTGTTTTTTGTTTTTGTTTTTTTCTCCAACTTTTTAATAACTCAAATAGTTATGGCTTATCAGACAATAAATTACTAATTACCTGAACATAAAACATGATGGATAATCATCCTAACAGTGAGAAGGTAGTCCCCATAGGTAGTTTACTAACAGCATTCTTTTTAAATATGCCTTTTAAGGAACATTTGATGCTATGGTGTTTAGTATATACTACAAAGCGAAAGCAGTCTCCTGCTAGCATTTTAAATTGTTTCACTATTTCTAACCACATGGTGGCACTTCAAGTACATTGAATTAATGTACTTTCTCACATACCGTTCCTGCATTTAAAACTGTAAGAGAGCTAGCTTAACTTTACCCTGTACACAAAATCCAACTAACTGTCTACCACCTGTCTTCCGTCTTCAACATCAGATCCTCTGGCATATTTTTTTCTTTGTCATAATCAGCGCTTATGAGTTTCCTCTCTATAAAACCTCACTGGATCAGCCTTTCCTTTTCTAATTACTCTTTTCCACTTAATTGCTTTTCTGGCCATATCGTTGTTTTTCTTTTCTTTTCTTTTTTTTTAAAGGCAGAAAAAACTTTATTCATGCATAAACTCGTAATGACCCCATCTTCCTGCACAACTTTAGAAACATTGACTTATTACAATACAAATTGGACCAAATGGTGAAGGAACTCCAAAACCATCACAGACCTTTCTCGCTTCACTACACAGTGCAGTGGAGCACGGCACAAATTGAGGAAGGAAGTCCTTTATGTGTTTCACATTTACCTGCTTGCCTTCAAACCCCAGGGCAGAGATTCAGTTGGGGGTGGATTGGGGGCAGAACCTATTGTTGATTTTTTATGTGTTTATTTTTTAGAATTATTAACTGAAGTTAACATCTTGCTACCCAAATATTGTCTCCTATCCCCTTGCATTTGGCAATGTGAAAGGATATAACCTTTGTATGGGGCTGCAGTTTACAGAATTATCACTTTATGACATAGCCTCATTTTATAGATAAGGGGGAAAAAATAGCAGGAAGATAATTATTGAAGGAAAAAAAAAACGAAACAGCGTGATATATTGGGGAAAAACAAGTTTTAGCTTTATGCAGACCCATATCACAGTCACATTTCTCTACTTAAATTAGAGACTTTAAGCAGATGTCCTAACCTTTTTTAAATCTTAATTTTCTCATACATAAAATGGGAATAGTATTTTATTAACTGAATTATAAAAATTAAGTGAATTATTTATGTAAAGTGCCCAGCTCACTATATGTTCATTTTGTTGTGTTTTTTTAACCCAAATGCCCTGTTTTTTTCTGCCCCAGGTTCCACCTGCTGACCGCCTCCTTTGACTCCTTTTGTCTGATTTTCTAGTTCTCTTTTTTTCCTTCAATTTCTACTCTCTTGAACATCCTCCTTTTCTTTTAGTAACCTCTTACCATCTCTTCTCCTGTAGCTCCAAGGCACAATCCTTGACCCTCTCTGCTTTGTGTCCCATATTCACTGTCCTGGAGAACTCATTTACTTGCATGAATCCTTTTAACTCTCACCTTTATGTGAATCTAAAAATTACAAAACTCTTGATTTTCATATTTCTTTCATCCTTCATAACCAATCAGCCATCATGCCTTCTCAGTTCTAACTTTAGGGAGTATCTGAGATTGTCTGCTCCTCCCCACCGATAGGCCACCATTCTCTTTCCTTCTTGTTACATTAGCTTCTTTCTCCCTACCATGTTCAGTGGTTTTTTGCCTGTCTGGGGAGCTCAGATCTCTTTGAGAACAGTCTTTCCCTTGAAAAATACACATGTATATATAGATCTCCTAAAGAACACCACCATTCTTCAATATGAACTTCCTAGTGATCTGTTGTCTTTACTAAGAATCTTTGTTCTGTTTCCTGCATTTTAAAGTCCATTCTACATATTCATGCAAGATTAGTGTTCTTAAATTGCAGTGCTTGTATCCTTTTGCTGATTAAGGATCCACGTTGACTCATGTTCTCGAAGATCAATTTCAGACTTCTCAGCATAGTATTAAATCAAGGTTTTTACTGACTTCACCTTTCAGCTAATCTTTCTTAACTGCTAATTTTTTTTAAAAGCTCATTTTAAATTTTAAAATTTTAAATAAATGAATTAAATTCATTTATTGAGTGCTAACCTATGTCAGGCACTGTTATAGACCCTGGGGATAACATAGCAAACAAAAACTTTCTGCCCTCATGGCACTTACATTCCTGTGGGGAAGATGGACATAAACAAGATAAACAAAAGGATACTTCATGGTGCTAAGTGCTAAAAAATAAAACAAGGAAATGAAATAAGATGTGTAATGGGTAGCAAGGGATGTTACTATTTTTTTAAGATCAGGAAAGTTCTCAGAAGCAAAAGTCATTTGAGTAAAGGTCTGAACATAAGAACTACATGGATATTTGGGAGAAGAACATTCTAAGCAGAGGGAAAGCAAGTGCAAAGGCCCTGAGGTAGGATTATATCTTACATGTTTGAGGAGCAAAATGAAGGCCAATACAGTTGAAGCTGACTAAGGAAGGGAGAACAAGAGGAGATGAGGTCTGAGAGGTAAGAGGGAGAGAGATCACACAGGACACTAAAGATCACTGTAATAATTTGGCTTTACTTTGAGGGAGATGGAAAGTCTTTGGTAGGTTTGAGCGAAGAGTGACATGATCTAACTTGTGTCTTTAATAGGATCTGTTTGGCTGCTGTATTAAAAATAAACTGGACTGGGAAGGGGGCCAGAGGCAGGTAAATGGATTAGGTTAGGTGAGCTCATTTTAGTCTCATGGTTTTAAATATGTTCTCTTCACTGTAAACTCTCACATTTGTACGTGCAGCTCGGACCTTTTCCTTGTAGTCTAGGTTATAAACTCCACTTGGAGTTTACACCTTAGACTTAACATTTCTGAATTCTTGATCTTCTCCCCCAAATTGCTACCCCAGGAATATTGTCCAACTCAGTAAAAGGCACTGCTATTCCTCCACTTCCTCTGGCCAACAGCTTTGACGTCATCCTTGTCTTCTCTTTTTCACACCCCAAATCAAATCTACCAGTAATTCCTATTGGCTATAATTTTAGGATAAAAGCACAGTTGCAGCATTTTATTTCCTTTGCTACCTGCTAGTCCAATCCACCATCATATCTTTAACTGGTTTCTCAGCCTCTGCTCTCATTCTCCTCTACACAACAGCCAGTATAACATAAATTGTATCTTACCCATCTTATGCTTAAAACCACCTAGTCACTTCCCATCTGACTGGAGGCCAAGGTCTGCACAGTGGCATGGTATGGCCCCTGACTACCTTTTTAACTTCATTTTTTGCTGTTCTCTTCTTCAGTCGTTGCTGCAGCCAAATTGGCCTCTTAGTTGTTCCTTTTCTGCCTGTCCATGCCTCTGTAACCAGTATCACAAACTTCCTTATACATATCCCCATAATTGTAAAAAAGCAGAGACAATGCAGATGATAATGACTCATGTTTATTGAGTGTGTTCTGGGTACCAGGCCTTTTTTCATTTAATGCTCCCAGCAACTCTGTGCATAAAAGGTAGGTAGGCCTAATTCCATTTTTATAGAACAGTAAACTGACTCTTAGGAGAAGTTAAGTAAGTTGCCCATGGTCACATGACCAGTAAGTACATAATGGAGGTGGGTTTTAAAGCAATGCTTAAGAACTCCAAGCACTGTGCTACCTCTTCAATGTCATGTACAATATTTGTTGCTTTTCAAAATGTGTCCTAAGGAGGTTCTTGAGGGTGGGGAAACCAGGTGTGTCACCCTCCACATCTCTTCTCGTTTCCCTCCCCCAATAAGAATAGCTCCCAGCTTCACTGCTATCTGTTCTGTGAAATTTTATTTGAAAAAAGAATCTAATGCCTAGATAACATTTGAAGTTTGCAAACCATTGATGTTTTTCCTCTTTAGTCAGAAAATTAGGGTTTAAAAGGGACCTAGAAAGAATCCTTCTTTGTGGCAGAATAAGCAGATGTTAACTTTTACTCATTTCATCATTTTCATTTCAGAGTGAGATAATTCGAGACAATACTGGAATTTTGGAATGTATTAAAGAAGGAATTGGAAGAGTGATAGGCTTGGGAGTGCCTCACAGCAAACGACTACTTCCGCTTCTTTCCTTGATCTTCCCTACGGTGCTGCATGGGGTTCTTCATTACATCATTAGCTCAGTCATTCAGAAGATTGTCCTGCTAATTCTAAAGAGAAAGACTTACAATAGCCACCTAGCTGAGAGCACTAGCCCGGTGCAGAGTATGTTGGATGCTTATTTTCCAGAGCTTATTGCTAACTTTGCTGCCAGTCTTTGCTCTGATGTTATACTTTACCCATTGGAAACAGTTTTGCACCGCCTTCACATTCAAGGAACACGCACAATAATTGACAATACAGACCTTGGCTATGAAGTGCTTCCAATTAATACACAGTATGAGGGAATGAGAGACTGTATCAATACCATAAGGCAGGAAGAAGGAATGCTTGGTTTTTATAAAGGGTTTGGTGCTGTTGTAATACAGTACACGCTGCACGCAGCTGTTTTACAGATTACCAAGATTATTTACTCTACTCTTCTTCAAAATAGTGTTTGAGATTTAGATTCCTGGTTAGTCTGAAAGACATCATCTGGATACTTCGTTATGAAATTATGAGGGATAAGAGTGAAATACCGTTGGTGGAAAATGGATTAGAAAGTGAAACTGGTAGAAAAAGTCCATGCTGATTATATTGACTCTTCACTTTTTAAAAAGGTTATTGGTATATATTTTGGATTCAAAGTATTCCAAATTTGAAAACTGAATAAAGACACTCATATGAATTAAATTCTAGCTAGTGTAGCACTAATGCTGAACTAAAAATGATCTCGGGAAGAAGCAAAATTTTGTCAGCAAACTGAAAACAAAATTTCATATGACTTTAATGTTTATTACATGTTTAGTTCACCTTCTAGATATTGGTATGTCATTCTTAATACAGTGTATAGTAGCAGGAGGTCATAGTTTACCTTTCAGCAAATAAGTTATGTTATCAGTAACCCGGACAAGAAAGATTAGATCTGGCAGTCTGTAAACAGGAGCTGAGGGTTTTAAGTTGCACTGTCCCTGTATAACTTTAATGGCTGTACATTTATTCTATAAAGCCACTTATATGCATACATACAATTTGGAATTGCCTTCATCCCTACAAATTTCCCACTCTTAGATCAGCTTACTGTATAAAATGCAGTTATGTATTTTCTGCTTGAATATCAGAACAAAATATTAAAAGCCAAGGTACCCCAAAGATTTAAGGCAAACAGCTTACTTGTCCATATGCAAACCCACCGTTTCAGTGCCAGCAACTTAGAATTTGTCATATGTTTATAAAGTTTGATTTGCTTATCTAGCCTTATGAATCATCAGACTGTTTTTAGAACCACTCTTAACAGAGATAGAATATAAAATAATCATGACAACTATTCCTGCTTCCACATTTACAAATTGTGTACTAAAGTGAATATCACTTGCCATTCGTTTCTGAATGACTTGACTTAGAGGAGACACGATTAAAATTCACCTGGGAATTTGTGCCTCTTGCCTTCCATATAGTCATCATTAAATGATGACTTCAATTTTTATTTTCTTTTAGTTTCTGTTCATAGTTTCATTCTCCAAACTAGATATACATAAAGGGAAATGCAGGTTTATCCTTATCACCTTTTATTGAAACTTGTTTGGATGAATACTGATGAAAAATAGAAACCTTAAAGGAAGTTTGTCCTTGCTTTTTATGGGTGATGAAAAGAAGTAAATTTCAACAAATAATAAGCAAAAAAGTTGGTCATCAGTTTAATAAAAAAATTCTGTCTGTTCCGAAATTGAATTTGGTGGGTGAGGCTCTTCATATAGTAAAATGATATGCATTTGATTAATCCATCATTAAATGTTTTAAAGTTTCATTTCTTCATGTGAATGATCAGTTTTACTAGGAACCATTTAGCACACTGAAGTACAATGACTTTGCACTGATGTTGTCCAACCTAGAATGCAGGTTCTGTTTTACTGAGATCTATTTTACTTACTAAATGTCAGCGAAATGGTTACTTTTTGTGATTAATAATGTTGGAACCAAAAATTGACATCCAGAAAGTGTGAAACAATACATTTGTTGCAACTCTCTCTACTATCTTGTGTATGTGTGGTTCTTTTTTAATGACTAAAACATGGAAGTTTTCCATTTTTCCATTCCACCATGAGGGAGAAAATAAAATTAAACACAAGTTGTACTCGTTCAGATTATGGTTTACCTTGTCCGGTTTACAGCACTTAAGTTGTTCTCATTGCTTTTGAATTAATAAGTAAATTTTTAGATGTTTATAATATGTCCAACTTCCTAAAAACCTTTCATTTTTATTATAATCGAAGATAGTTTCAGACAAGAGTAAACTTCTGAAAATTTCAAGTTTCAGAAAATTTCTAGAAGAACAGAATCTGAATGGAATCAAGTATCTACTAGTGAAAATCTGGGATCCTTTAGCTAATTACTAGATATTTCAAGATTATTTTATGAAAGTTATGAAGATTCAGTTATATAAATCTGTCTCGTGGAATCATTTACAAGACTGATAGGCTGAACCACATACAAGTAGGTTGGTCTTATTTTCTGTCTCTTTGGAGAAAGAATACAAATTAATGTTAAAACTAAAATTGATTGGGAGATTGGGATTGACAAATATACACTAGTATGTATAAAATAGATAACTAATAACTTGCTGTATAAAAAAAAATTCAAAAAAAACCTAAAATTGAAAGGCAGCAAGTAAAATACTAATTTTTTTAGTACCGCTCCAAATTAGTTGAAATATAAAAAAATCCTTAAAATTCAAGCACTTAAATGCCGGCCAAATATGTTTAACTGAATTTAGAAAGGAATAAGCAAAATAAACATTAGACATGCTCTTTCCCTTTTAAAATTGCTCTATTTCTTTAGCATATAGGTGCCAAAATCAAATACCTATGGGCTATATTTCTTAAGGTGATAATAGCTTAGAATAACATTTTTAATTCAGTATGATTAATATTATCATGAGTAAGAGTCTATTAAAATGTTCCACAGTCCCAGTGATCCACTTACATAAGCTAGATTTGGGCCATGGAGCTGAAGTATGATATACTTGCCTTACATTGTTGGGTTTCTTAACTTGAGTCAAATAGTCTGAAAGCAATGGAATTAAAAACTGAAATACCTGGTAAATATTAACTTACTATGTTAAGTGAATTTATGAATTGATTTACTAAATCTGTTTATAAATCCCTTTCCTTCGAGAGACTCTTTATTTTATGGTTTCCAGAAAAATAATCTCTAAGTTTACATAATTTAAGCCTCCGAACTCCAGCACTAGATGTTATAATTATGAAATAGTAAAAAACTAATTTCAAAATGGTTACGGATTGTGGAGTTTGATAGCCAGTGTTTTCAGAAGTAAAACTGAGAGGCAAGAGGTCTTGCTCATTTTGCATATGTGCTTGCCTGCTCACAGCTGTCTTTTCAGCACTGTGTTTGTTATAACCCCACAAAGCATTCACTAACTGACTAGGCACAAACACTTCAGTATTTCCGTGTATTCATACATGTGCTCAGAAGATAAAAGAAAACACATGGCTTTTTGTTTTTTTCAAATGAGATTGTGGAGGATGTTTACCCTCAGTTTGCATACTGGGAGGTCTTGAAAAGATAGCCAGGTTTGAATTAATTATTTTTAATAATATATAAGCAAAGAAAATCCCCATGGTAACAACTCACATTGCATCAGAATTTAAGTGATACTTAACTTCGGCATTTCTGGTTTCTCTACTCTTTCAAGTAGTTATACATTTCTCTCCCTTTCCTTCTCTCTCTCTCATATAAACTGGATATATAATGTCTTTCTTTTGAGTCACTGATTATCACTGATATGCTACCAAGTTGTATAATAGAGTAACAAAAACTTGTGATTTGACAATGAATTTTATACAATATTACCTCAGCTAGAAGAGGTGTGTTGTCTGTATTTTCTTTTAAGTTTTTGTCTCACTGGTACTTTAAGTGTTTTCAGTAAATTGTGTAATATGAAAAGGTTAAATAAAATGTTGAAATAAAATCACTAATTTTCTCTTACTGATGCTAGAGAACTACTAAGGCTGGTGGTGTAGGTGTTCAGAATATGTCCCCCCAAAATATGCTGTGTTGGCATATTGATTATTTTGTATTAAAGGTCCTTGAGAAACAGCGGGTGCAAAAGGACACTCTGACCCTCCTTTGTTCCCCTGAAAGCAAATTGCCCATGTGAAAGGTAGCCTCCCTGTACCAGAAGAGAGAATTTAGGGCTGAGAAAACTGTATAAATAAACCTTGTTACTTCTTCACCATTTACTACCCCACCACAAACCCCTCTGCCTATCAATTCTTCACAAATTTACTGTTTCTTCGTCTAAACGTTATAAAAGCTTTCAGCTCCGGTTCCCTTCTTTGAGTCTCATTTTATGGGGATCCGGTACATACGAAATTAAATTTGTCTCCTGTTAACCTGTCTCATGTCAATTAAGTTATTAGACCAGCCAAAGACCTAGAAGGGAAGAAGGGAAGATTTTTCTACACCTACAGGGGTAAAAGAAAAGTTCACTTTTGTAGGTACAAATGAAGATCAAGAAAAAAATACAAAGTTAAATTTTTTGCCCATCATTTAAAAAATCATTCTGATGTAACTGTGATGTGTACAAAACAAGTAACATATTTCCTTACATAAGGTTGCCTATGTATCATCTCTGGTATTACACAGTCCCATATTTGGTCGTTACAACTGTCCTCAGGCAATTTTCTGAGTAGTGCTGTTTAGGGAAGAAATAGGTATAAATGGTGGGCATTGCTTGAAAACACTAAGGAAATCAAAAAAACCCTCCAGCCACCTAGGGCTAAGAATAACAGTTGAGACATGTAAGAAACCCCCTAAAGACAGGGAGGAAAAGCCAGCGAGATGGTTTCTTTGGGAAGTTAGGGCATTCCAAAGTGGTCATGTATACTAGGGAATTTAGAAAGCCACTCACATACCCGGGACAGGACACGTTCTCAGAAAAGAACTGAGAAGACCCTGAACTTTCACTACTGGATAATCTAAAAACTCAGTATAAGCAGGAAGTGAAAGTTGAGGCAAAGTTGTAAAGAGCCTGGCTAAGGATTAAAGGGGTACCCCAATACAGAGCCAATCCACCAAGTTAAGCAACACTAAATACAAAGCCAGAAATCAAACCTAGGTCTGGTAATCCAGTTCAGTGTCCTACCATAATGGGACCTCTCAGAGTCAGGAATAGCTGGTCTAATAATATCTGCCCTTTAGGAAAAGAACAATGACTAACATTTACTGAGCACTTAGTATCATACCCAGATCATTAAGAACTCCAATGCATTAACTCATATATTCCCTACAGCAACCTTGTGAATGAAGTAGTTACTGGTAGTATCTTCACTTTACAAATGCAGGAACTGAAGCTGGGAATTTAAGAGTTTTGCCCAAGATCATTAGGTTAGTAAGTAGCATAGCTCAGATTTGACACACCTCGCTTAATCCTAGGTTGGTTACCAGGTCAAAGTTTGCCTTGCTTTAAATAATGACCTTCAACAGAAGAAATGAAGGACACCACTGTTCTCACTCACTAGTGAATTAATTCTCAGCTTAATCTGTACTGGTGTCTGCATGGGAAGGCTCTCGAGAGCTCTTTGATGGGTCCTTCCACAGTCCTCACCATTCTCCTCCCTTCTCCAGGATGGAAACAAGCTTCCTCTTCTTCTTGAGCTTTCACAGCCAGCCTCTTAATTCTTTCTTATAGTATATGAACTTT